CTGTAAGTATCCTCTTCGCATCTGTAAACAGGTAGTCAGACTTGGTTTTGCAAAAACATGTTTTTCTCCTTTATACTGTACGTTTTTGTTTGCTATTTACTTTTTTTTCATAACCTCAGTCTTACAAGGAGGCCTGTCAGGATCCTCATTGGACTCAAGCTATGGAGGATGGGTTGTCTGCTTTGCATTGGAGGAAAAGTTGTCTGTTTTGCAGAAAACTAGTACTTGGGAATTGGTTCCTTTGCCTGCTGGTAAGAATTTGGTTGGTTGTAAATGGGTCTACAAAGTCAAGACTCATTCTGATGGTTCTATTGAGCGCTACAACGCTCGCCTAACTGCCAAGGGTTTTTCATAGGAGTATGGTGCAAAATGAGAGCATGATTTATAGTTGTGACGAGATGATTATGTTGGAAAAAAGAAGAGAGAGACTTGGGACCCTATGGGTTGTCAAAAAGTAGAATAAAAAAAAAATGCACATGGGTTGGAAAGTAAAAAGAGAGAGAGAGAGAGAGAGAGAGAGGTGTATCTTGATGACCCTTTTCTCCAGACTGATTATTGTGACTCTGATTTAAGACCAATAGATTATCAGAGAGAAATGGATGACATGAACCCGTTCTTAAGGCAGCTGCCGCGTCTCGAGCTTGATGATGAAGGAAAAACATATAGCAACGGCTCCTATTGGGCTTCTTCTTAGTCTTCTTCTTGCTCGGAGCCGGCGATGGAACAGCCACAGCCGGAGGAGAAGAAGCCGGCACTGGAGGAGCAACAGCTGGCGCGGTGGCCAGAGAAACAGCTGGCGTGGATGATACAGGAGCTGGAACAGTTGGTGTCGTCGGAGCCGTAGCTGGAGGAACTGAGATGGTGTCAATGCCAAGCTTCTTGGGTGCCATGGACCTTTGGCAAACCGTCAACCTGGAAGAGCATTTATTAATGCATCTGCTTAGGAGATTTTGTTGACTGCTGGGCATCGGTCTCAGGAACTGAAGGACTCCTGCTTTTTTTCTTTCTGCATTTTGTTGCTGTCTATTTTGACAAATGCTCTGCTAGAGAGAGAAAGTGTGAGAGAGGTCTTGCGAGTTGATGGAGGTCTCAAATTGGTTGAGGTCCGGCGGGTGGCTAAGGCGAGGTTGCCGCCCGCCGGTGAAGCGAAAAATATTAAATTCTTAACCTTGCTCTGATACCATGTAAGAATTTATGTATTATTGATTGATATATGTTGTTGTTTTATTACAAATGGTGAGTGGCTCATTATATAGGAGAGGGTGAGTGTAGTAGGTGAGGAGTAGGTGAGGAGTAGGTGTGGTAGGTGATGGTAAATTGGTGGTAGGTGATGGTAAATTTTAACAATAGGTTTACTTGTTATCCTTTCCTCATTAACATGGCTATTATCTTCTATAATAGTAAGGAGGCTGACGGGTATAGTAGTTGTGGTATATGTTTCTTAGAAAGTCCAGTTGAGGTGGTTCTTCATAAATGGAAGGCTGAAATTTGTTCACCTTGTGATGTATTAATAGCTTCATATGGAGGATGAGTGGTTGTAGACAATATGCCCTTTCATTATTTAAAGTTGGATTTTCCCTAAAAAATTGGCGAGTTTTGCGGTGGTATGATTGAAGTTTATTGAAGAACAAACCACTTTTCCATCTTGTTTGAGGCTTGAATTAGAGTTTAAGGCTCAAAATGTGGTTTTATTGCATGCCAGTTGGCATCCTCATTGACAGAGAGATGTGTTAGAATTTCCCATCTTTACCTTCACCTACTCCACTACACACTCCACTTCACCTACCTCCACTTCACCACACACTCCACTTCACCTAACCCACTATCACCTCCACTACACCTACTACCACATTTTCTTCTATATATAGATTGTATAGGAATTGTAATTAATCAATCTTGTAATATAACAATCAATACAAATCAATCAATAATACATATATTTTTACAAGATGTTAAATGTTTGACTTGGAGCTCTATTGAGGCCAAACATGGGTAATGGTGGACAGAGGAGCACCAGTCATTCAGGTAGCACAAGAGTTTTGTCCCTCCAACCTAAAGTTGAAGAAAGAAGAAAACCTAAAAGTGGGTTATGTGGCAACATACGGGTGAAGAAGGATGTGAATCTGATCTCTTGGAATTTTAATTCTTTTGGGTTCTTAACAATCTTGATATCAATGATTTGACTTCAGTATTTAGGGAAGATTTTGTATTTAGGGAAGAGTTTAAGAGGAACTTTATGAAATAGCATCCATATATCACTTTTTTCTATGTTTTCTTAGTTAAGTTAGGGTAGCTAAATGGAAATCAATGAGGAGAATTGAGAAGGAATATAATTTTCTACAATACTTCTTGTAATAATCTTGCACTGATCAAGATTATTGCAAGAATGATTGTGTTTTGAACTTAAACCATCCACTTAAATCATAATTGATTGTATTTTAGACTTAAAAATCACCTACTTAAACTAGTATTGCAAGATTATTGCAAGAAGAATTAGTGTAGAGAATCTCAATCCGATTGAGAAAGCATCTTATGTGAAGATGGTGCTTTGTTGAAGTACTTTAATAGTTGGTATTGGTTTTTGTTTTTGGAGTGGAGGTCTTGAAACTTCATTTCGTACTTTTTTCTTTTACTTTCCTCTAATTGTATTTGTGCCCCCTCGGAAAATTCTTTAATTAATTTATTTGGTGCTTACCAAAAAAGAAGAAGCCTAAGTCTAGTCAGCTTAATGAGTGCCTTAGCATCGCCAACACACTCTAGACCATGGCTATCAAAATCCCAATCCAGATCGTACGATCCTAAATTGCAAAAATGATCCAAATTGTTGTAGAATTGGTGTTATAGCAAGATCGCAAGTAGGATCGTTTAGGACCATGTGGGATCGTAAGTGGGATCGCTAAATTTATGATTTTTTACCTTATTTTTTAATCAACGTCTTGTTTTTTTATGTTAATTTTAATAGAAAGGAGAATCTTACAATCCTTGATCCGATCCTACGATTCGATCCATGGGACCCTCTCACTGATACGTAGGATTCTGATTTTAACAACCATGCTTTGAGATTTTGTGATGAATGCAACCTAACATTAGGGTTGACTCTGAAGACTATAAAGTCTTCTTGCAGTCAGATTTTGTTATTTTGATTACTACAAGTTTTCTTTAGCTTTTCATCCCAAAGCTCCTAATTCTGCAGCCTCACCCTTTTGCTACAATCTAATTTTGGCTTTCTAGAATTACTTTCAACCAATTCTGTCTTTTTCGCATTCCAACTATCAATCGCTTTGGAAACCATACAAACTTTAACTTGCTACGTATGCAAACCTTAGTTGCACGAAGCGGGAGCGGGGGCGGAAGCGAGGAATCGTGAGCCGATAGAAGTTTCTTAGGTTGGGAGCGTCTCGGGGAGCGGTAATATATATATATATTTTTTTTAATGCACATTAGAAGTTTTTTTATAAATATGATCAGTTAAAACTTAAAACAGAGATGAAGAGAGAAAGAGAACAACGATTGAGAGATGAAGAGAGAGAGAAGCAGAGACGAAGAAAGAGAGAAGCATAGAGACGAAGACGATCCATCAAGATCGAGATCGACAGTGAGAGAAGAGAGTGACGAAGCTGATCGAAGCCCTCAGAGACGAAGACCATCGTGATCGATAGTGAGAGCCCTAATCGTGATCGATGATCGAAGCCCTAATCTAATCCAACTACAAAGCTGCCACCACTGGTCCACTGTAAGTTTCTTTCAACAATCCTTCTTCTTTCTCCTCTCATGTCGACGTCGAAGGCTAGGGTTTCTCTCTCTCTCTCTCCTTTACGATCCCATCTTGGATTGAATCGCGTTTCTCTCTCCACAGAAACGCGATTCTTACACGTTTCTTTCTAGAAACGTGGAATCGCGATTCTTACTCAGAATCGCCACCTGGTTGCACGATTCCTGCAACTAAGATGCAAACCCTGGCCCTTATGTCGATTCTATCAGCCCCTAGAATTATGTCCTTTCTTTAGCTAAGTCCATCACAATGTATGCATCATTATATTAAGTTTAGATTTGTCACCCTGTGTTACTTTCTATTTGGAGATCTTTTGTGTGAGGCTAGTAAAGTAGAAAGGATGTGGAATATTTCCTTTAGGATGGAAATTGGATTGTAGAGGAAAGATCATCTAGTCTGCTGGAATGTGGCAGGTTAACATGACTGTTAAGGAATCTTAGCACTCGTGGGTATGTGGCTGTGGAGATTTCTTAGAGACTTGAAACCTTAAGGCGCTTTGCGATAGTAAGATGGTATATTCTGCAGCTAAGAGTTCTGCTAGGGAGAATCATTACTGTCCGGGGAAGTCTACTATGCTATTTCTTAACGAGTTTTCCAAGAATGTTAGATATGTTATAGGCAATGGAAAGTGTATTTTCTTTTGGGTGGAAGCTCATTCAGTTAAAGGCAGATACTTCTGCAACACCATAATCTATACAATTTGAACACTTTTTCTTGTTTGGATAAGAAACCAATATCATAGCATTCAATCTGCCAAAGACATTATTACCTAAACAAGAATCACTTCCCAATGAGTTCCTTGAAGAAGAAAAGGCCTGAATACACTTGGGATCCTTAGGGTTTGGTTTGGTTAATTAGCACTTAGTTTAATGTTGCCATTAGTGATTCTTAGCACTTCAAAGTCGTATGTGTGTGTGTGTGTGTGAGAGAGAGAGAGAGAGAGTTGTCTAAGCGTAGTAGTTTGGTCATCACAGAGTTTGTCTAAGCGTAGTAGTGTTGGAGTCTGTTAAATGATACCTCAATAAGATGAGAATGTGAGTGGCGATGCATTCACTTTTGTTGCTTTGTTACCTATCTACCATCTAAATCTAAATGTCTTCATTTTTTTGCTTTTCTAATTTAACATTATGAACTGTTTTTTGGACATTTTTAAGGACCGAAACCATGTTTTCTAGTCTTCATTGATTTTCATTGTCGTGTATCTTGAATTTATAAATTTGTCCTGCAGGCATATGCTGCTGCTGGCACCGTGAATCAAAATTATGCAAATATTCTATTGATGCTTTTGCGCCTTCGCCAGGCTTGTGACCACCCACTACTTGTCAAAGGTTTCAGTTCTGAGCCTGTTAGAAGTGACTCGTTGGATTTGGCAAAGAGAATTCCTAGGGAGAAGCTGATCAATTTATTGAATCTCTTGGAAACTTCCTTGGCCATTTGTCGTTATTGCAGTGTGAGTTTTTATTGATCTTAAACTTCTTTTCTTCTCTAACATGGTATTAAATTTTTTTTCTACTGCGTGTAAAAACTTGTTGAGAAGTTTTCTGCTTGTACAACAGTCAGTGTGTATGATCTGGAATGGCTAATATTACTGTGAATTCTGCAAGTTCTTGGTAGGTGATGTACTGCTTATTTTCAACAGATAAATGTATAATTTGAATTTTTGTTGGTGATTGAAGTGTTTTGGAATTAAGACGCTGTGACCTGGCACAATGGCAAGAACTATCCACCTTTAGGGTTGTGGTGCTGGTACAAGTCCTGGGAGTCAGCCTATCCCCAAAAATGGTGGGGGTAAGGTTGCCTACCTACTACCTCTCTCCTAGACGCTGCTGCAACTAGGAGCCTCGGGCACTGCATACAACCTTTATGACCTCTAGTTTAAGTGTTTGTAATTGGAATATTCATGATGATTGCAAAATCTGATGATATCTAACAAAAAAAATGTAAACTTTCAGCAAATACTGTTCTTAGAAGCATGTCAATCAGGATAGTTGATGGAGACATGTAGGTGTGACTATCTACTAAAGCATTTATGGAGGTTTAAAGTATGATGCTTCTAAATTTAATTGGCAAGCTTGCTCTTTGTGCTTAGGATGAAGAGTCAACAGTACACAAGATGACTTCTAGTAGTGATTCCGCGTGACAAGAACCTGGCTTTCGTAGCATTCTAGAGAGTGAGAGTTCTTATGCATGATGGATAGAGATCCATCAGAATACAGTTAAGGTTGAAGTCTCAGAAATTTCAATTTGGTTTCATTACCTTTTTAGGTTAGTTCTTTGGGAACCAACCTTCAGCTGGGATCTTTGGAAGCAATTTTATGCCATCTTCATGGAATTGTGGTTGTTTTTCCAGTCTTGGTTCTGTGAATATTGGGAATTTGAAAAATCACCTGCAATGCGTTTTGCCTTTGGATCTTTAATGAATTGTTAGGAAGAAAAGTACTCTTAACTAATATAGTCAACTGGTGACCTCTATCTGATGGTGCTATTTGAAATCACTTTGGCCATGATCTTAATTTTTTCTATATTTCTTTTAGTGTCATGAAGTTATTGGATAATATATATATATATATATGTTTTGGATATAGTGAAATATTCTAGTTCATTTAACTTCTGCTAAATATTCTTGGGGTAAGGGCTGAACGATGTTCTTGCTGCGACATAACTATCATGAAAGTGTAAGTATTGTGGTTGCTGGTAAATTGATGTCTTATATTACTGTTGTATGTATCTCTTTTTTTGTTTTTTTAAAATAAAATTTTCTTTTCTTTTCCCTCTTTCATTCGAGAGTGACACTTATTTGCAGATCATATTTGTGGTTTGTGTTCTGTTAATATTTTAGTGCTTGCCCTTTTTACTTCTTACTCTTGTTTTCAAATGAAAAAAGTGATGGTATCTGAAGATTATATAGAAACAGTAAACATGTAGCACTCCCATTGAATTTCCTACTATCTGATTCTTTTATAGGATCCGCCTGAAGATGCAGTTGTTACTATGTGTGGACATGTCTTTTGCTATCAATGTGTATCAGAATATATGACTGGAGATGATAATATGTGTCCTGCTCCTGATTGCAAGAAACAAGTTGGTGTTGATGTTGTATTTTCCAAAGCTATCTTAAGGAGGTGTATCTCTGAGGATCCTGATAATAATTTGTCATCTTCGTCTGAGTTTCCGGGGAAATCTATAATTCTGAAGAATGAATATAGTTCTTCTAAAATCAGAGCTACTCTTGAGATTCTTCAGAAACATTGTAAATCAAAGAGTCCGACTTCAGAATCACATAATTTGGTGCGATGCAATGGAGATTCGTCATATTCAGGAAAGGCATTCTCAGACAGTTCTCATTCAGGAGTTGGGGCTGCAACAGTAGTAGACCTGGACACTGAACCTGAAGGACCGATAAAAGCCATTGTCTTCTCTCAGTGGACTAGCATGTTGGACTTGGTTCAAATTGCATTGAACCAGTCTTGTTTGCGATATAGAAGGCTTGATGGGACAATGACTCTGAGTGCAAGAGACAGGGCTGTGAAAGAATTTAACACTGATCCCGAGGTTTTCCTCTTATCTCGTAAAAATGTGAAAAGAATTGCCAATTTTTTCGTACTGTTTGTGTTTCTTCTTTATGGATATCTAGGAATTATTGTTATAGCATGATATTTGTGGACTCCAAGCAAGAAATTTGACTTTTAACACCCACACTATAATATTGGAAACATAGTTGTCAACTTGTGTATTGTATTATGACTCTTTCTCCTGATTTGTTTATCCCTTAATTTATGCTATACTTGTATCTTGTGTTATAAGATACTCTTGAGATTGTTAGAACTGTGTAAAAACTAACCAATAAATCTTCTACCACAAATTAACTTGTGTAATCCTATGTTTAATATTACTATTACTATTATTATTATTATTATTTTTTAATGAAGAAGGAACAAGCACCATTATGTGGAAACATAAGAACTAACCTTTAGTGCTCAACTGAAGAATGTTTTATCTCCAATTTATTACTTCCAATAGGTCTTTATCCTATGCGGAAATTTGTTTTTGAAAATATAGAACTTAGGGATTAAAATTTGTCAAGAAATTATGAATCTAATGTGCAAATCTTAATTACAAATAATTTATTTTAATTCCAAAGGGTCTTTGGGATTCTTTGGAAATGTTCTTGCTGAAATAAATAAATAAAGAACTTGAAAGTTATCAAGTTATTTGCACAGTCAATTGGGTTGACTGTTTGATATTGTACCATTAATTACTTTTTCTATATTGAACAATAAATGTAATTTTAAATGATATGGAAAGATTTTGTGATAGAAACTTTGTTCACTTTGGTTTCATCTGGAACTATGCTGTAAGCCTACAACTAATTCACGGCACATACCATTTAGCTTAGATTCTGCTGCTTACTGCTATAATATGGGTTGCTACATATATATAAATAAAAGTTGAAATGAATTGCAGGTTACTGTTATGCTGATGTCACTAAAAGCAGGAAACCTTGGTCTAAACATGGTTGCTGCTTGTCATGTAATCCTCCTTGATCTTTGGTGGAATCCGGCTACTGAAGATCAGGCCATTGACCGAGCTCATAGAATTGGACAGACTCGTCCTGTTACTGTATCACGGATCACTATTAAAGATACAGTTGAAGATCGAATTTTAGCTCTCCAGGTATATATTTTCACCATTCTAAATTTCTTTATCTAAGTATGGTTGAAGTCGTACAATTTAAGTTGTTTCAAGATTTGAAGTGCTAGAATTTCTTCTGCTTGTAGTTTGGTTATTGTAATCATATCGTCATTAATGCATAATCGCATCCTTTCTCTTTTCCAATAAAAGCTTTTTTTCTTTCACGTGAACCTATCCTTTTATGCCTTTCTGATGTGAAGTATTTCTTGTAGTAGACATCAGGGAAATTGATGTCCTAATATACACCAAAAGGAAACTATTTTTTGTTGTCTTGGACCCTTTTGAGATGAAGAAGATTGAAAACTGCTCGTAGATTTGGAGCAAGACGGCTGGTTAGAAGGTGCTTCTGTGCTTACATGATCAATTGTGAGGGAGGAGTGACTATAATATATAATAATAAAAATTGTACTTTTTTGGTGTGAAGTTGTGCAAGATGATTGTAATGTTAACTTGCATTATGGTACATAATATGGAGTAATTATAACACAAATTGTTGACAAGATGATGATAAAGATAGGTGACTAGCCAGATGAGGACGAATAGAATTAGACATGAATGTATTTTTTTTTTTTTACCAGTTGGAGCCTTAGGGGTAGCATGAATTCAGGGCAAGATGGAGGAGTTTCTGTTAAGCTGGTTTTGCCGTATGCAATAAAAGCCTAGAGTTCGTGGGTTTTGTGAGAGATTTGGGCCTTCTGTTGTAGTACATATGACATTAGTATATGGTCTCTTCCTAATTTTTCCTCGTCACACCTTTTGTTCCTGTTTTTGGGTAAAGGTTAGCTTTCATTGTAGTGTGCTCATGCTTGAAACTTCATGGGTTTACAAAAAACTAGCAACATCAGAGCCAACATTCGGGGTAGGCGAGCAAGGCCGCCACTTAGGGCAAATTTTTGTTGAAATTTATGGCCCTTATATTAGGTCCTTTTTTTTTTAGCCTTAAATACAAAAAGGCCTAGGAAACTAAATTATTCAATGGACAATTTAAAAAGTAAGTTCGAACAATTTTAAATATGAGGAAACTTTTAGGTTTTTGTTTGATTTAAGAAATTAAATTCTATCAACGATGAATGTTTGAAGACTTATTGTGCCAACCTTGAAGACATTTTGAAACATGATGGGCTTTCTGATGTTGATGGGAGTGATTTATTTTTAGAATTGAAGTCTTGAAAGAAATTTTACCAAAAGAAGGCATGAAGTCGATTGGTGTGGTAAATTATTTGAAACTAATGGATGGTTGTTTTCCAAATGCTTGGATTGCCTATAGAATACCGTTGACTATGCCAGTTAAAGTTGCCTATGGAGAAGGAAGCTTTTTCAAATTTTTAGTTGATCAAATCTTATCTTTGGTCAACCCTGTCACAAGAAAAAGATTGAATGGATTAGGAATGTTATTCATTAAAAAGGATATGATAGATTACTTAGATTATGCAAAAGTTTAATTAATAATTTGCAATTAAAAATGCGAGGAGTAATTTTTTAAGCGATACTATACTAAAATTTGTTCAATTTTTATTTGATATTATAGCCTTAGATAGTTTTGGTATTTTTTTTCTTTATTGTAAAACCTTGGCCTAATAACCTTGAGATTATGGGTTCAAGTTACGAGGCAACCACTTTGCGCACTATGTCAAATGTTAGGTGTCTACCCAATCTTTTTCCTCCAAAGCACACATTAATGTGTACTAATTGGGCGTTGTTTTATTGTAAATTAGATTTTTCTATCTATGCAAATAAATTTTAGTATATAATTTTGGTAGTTAAATATGGAAGCAAATTTTTTTTTTTTGGGTACACAAGGGGGTTGAAGCCCAAAACTAAAGCATGGCAGTCCTAGAAGTTCCCCATCCAAAAGAATCCCAAACCAGCAAAGGCTTCACCATTCTCAGCGCTGTATCATTACTTGGATTTCCTCATCAACGAAAACTGCTTCCTTAGCAAATTGATACGCACATGCGTTGCCTTCACGCTATGTATGTTCTATAGTGCACTCCCAACTTCTAGCCATCCATGAGTGCACATTCTTGCCCAAATTATAGCTAAAGTGGGAAGCGATTGGTTGTTGGATCAACTGGATCGCCACTCGAGAATTTGTTTCGAGAATAACCTTCCTAAACCCCTATTGTTCCCATGCCACACAGGGACCCACTCACACAGCCTTGTGAATATATAAAGGGCCCCATTTTAGGGCTTTTGCTTAGGCCCCCTGAAAACTCAGGGCCAGGCTTGAGCGGCATGAGGATTTTTTTTTGCCCTTTTTATTCTGAGTAAATTAGATTGACAATGCTTGAGGTTTGCCTTTAATACAATCTCTCCTTGTGGTTTGGAGTCGTATTACAAATTGCCCTATTAGTCAGCTGTAAGGCGAACTAATAGCTTTTGCTGATGTCAGCAATAAAAAATTTTTAAAATGGAAACGTTACTCCTAGGCCATGTTTGATTGCCTGACTATTAGTGGGATTGAAAGTGGAGGAAACTTGTGGGGCCCACTGTATTGTGAGTCTGGTGTTTGATGGTGATATAAGGAGGAAGGGAATGAAGGTGGGGAACGTGTGGGTCTTATTGGATAGTCCAAACCAGTGTTTGTTTTGCATGGTACTAAACTCCTAATAATTTTAGTACTGGTATGGAGGATTAAATAGAGGAAAATGGGAGGATTAAATATTACCATAGGTAGCGTGGTATTAGAAGAACGAGGCCTCTCCAGATTATTTTTTTCTTCATCCAACTTCCAAAAATAATAATATATTTGTATTTCATTCTAACCAAATATAATACCTCACTCTTTCTATCTAATCATTTATCCCATGGTATAACTTATCCCCATAATCCTATCATATATCCAATTCTTTATCCCATTTAATCCCATGATATAACTTATCTCTCACAATCCTATTAATAATCCCACAATATTTAATCCCACAAAAAATAATCCAACAATCAAATGTGGCCCTGATGTTTAACCCAATACTACCTCTCACAACACTTCTTAAAGAATTTTTATCAAACATCCCATAAGAATTCGAAGCACCTCACCACTGAGATACCCAACTGCACGCCCGTCTCCATGCTAGCACCACCTCACCTATATATATATATATAATGTGTAATTGCATATATTAGACTATGCTGAGAAGATTATAGATTCACAAGTGGGTGAACAATTCTAGTAAGACAGACTACAAGAATTACAACAGGGTTTGGTACATTTGGAACAGAGCTTCACTTTTGTTCAACTAAGAAAGCATGAGTGGATCCATAGCAAGTTCAGAGTGAACATGGAAAATTAGGACAGTTCTAGAAAATTCATTTTAAATCATACTTTCCCCAAATAATTGCTGCCACTACCATAACTCTTCTCTTATTGCAATCTAATGGGTGTTGCGACATAACAATGAACACTTTGCATATGAAAGAACAATTGTGTACAGCACCACAATTCTCTTCTCTTATTGAACAAATTCCTTTTCTCATCTCTTTGGAAACTAGCCACCATCCCATCACCAACGTGCACCACCATCACCACTGGGGTAGCTACATTGTAGCTAGTGGGTTCAAATGAAGATAATAGGAGTTAATTCAATATTTTAACAAATACTTTGTAATCTCATATGATAAATTCAAAAAATTATGTGATATTTTAGAATTTCATCAAATTGACCCCACTAAATTATATGATTGGAGAGAATGTCAAATTTTAACATAAAAAAGGTATTGAATTTTTTTTTTAAATTTTTTTTTTTTTCCTAAATGTGATTCTTATGAAGATAATAGGAGTTAATTCAATATTTTAACAAATACTTTGTAATCTCATATGATAAATTCAAAAAATTATGTGATATTTTAGAATTTCATCAAATTGACCCCACTAAATTATATGATTGAAGAGAATGTCAAATTTTAACATAAAAAAGGTATTGAATTTTTTTTTAAAATTTTTTTTTTCCTAAATGTGATTCTTATTAAAAATTTAGTTCAAAATCAAAAATAAAATGGAATATTTTTAGCATTTTGCACTTTTTTGGAGTAAGTTATTACTTGTATAATTTATTGACTATTAATTGACCCCATTGACAATAAATCCTGGCTCCGCCACTGATGATCACCCACCCACTGTCCCCAATTTCACCCTGTCTCTTTATGTCTTTCTATGTTCATTTTCTTCGAACCTGACAAACCCCAACTCCATCTTCAATGCATCATCACCACTCCAGGAGGTAGAGATCAATGGTGGCAAGTTGGCAATTGTGTTTGCAATATGTGGAAGTGGTAGTCCAGTAATGGTGAAGGGAGGGGGAAGGGAAATGATGGGGGTGTGTCAGTGTGAGGGAGAGAGCAGAGGGATGGTGTGGTCAACAATAGGTGGTGGTTGTGATGTTGGTGTTCTTTCCCTTGGCCGGTGATGGTGCCATTGACAATTGTAGTGGGTGATGATTGTGTTTCTATGGAAGTTGTATTAAGGGGGTGAGAGAAGGAAGGGGGAGAGATAGATAATGAGGGTAATACAATATTTTTACCCTTGTAGTTGATGGTAATAATTCATTACATGTTTTTCGTCAGTTCCATCAAAAGAAAAACACTGACGGGATGCAGTGTAATTTCTGAAATATAGAGGGGGAATTTGTATTAAAAGAAAAATTCAAGGGTTTCAGTGTAATTACCCTTTTCTTTTATTTTTTATGTTACCAACAGTCTTTGGTCACCCTTTAGTGACAAATTAATTGGATGCTTGTGATTTTATGTGCCCAAAATGCAGCTCCAGATCAACAGGCAGTTCCTTCATAGAATTGATCAGTACCCTAAATTAATTGATTTCTTCAGCAATGCCCTCCAAAAAGGAAAGGTGGAGGCTTACCTTACCACAATTCCACCATGCCCCTATAAATAGATGTTTTGAGAAATTATGATTGTGAAGAAGGAAACCAAGGAGAAGAAATTATGCCATGTAACTACTGGTGATAAAAAAAATCCAGTTAAATAAAAATGGGTAATATATGGCACCATTGGTTGCAATTTGTGGAAGATCTTTACCCTCCACATCATATGAGATCAATCAGCTTATAGTAGGAGGAAAGAGTCCAATGTTTGTGGAAAGTGACTTCTTTGACATCATTTACTAGGTTAATCATGGGCAGGATGTTTTGCTATTTATTACGTGACTCAAGTTGAATTCTGCCAAGGCATGGGTGGTTATATGGAAATTCAGTGGCATGGTTGAGTGACAATCAGTGAATTCTGAATTTAAAAGGACAGTTAAATAGAAGGTAAAGAAGAAATCATGAAAGAATGTGAGTTGTGTTGGTTAGAAAATACATGATGGCTGAGTCTAACAGAGGATATGGCCTTAACTAGTGTAGGCAAAACCAAGCAGTTACAATTTAGGCTTTGTTAGAGTTGAGTTGAATGTGATCTACGTTTAATCATGATATAATAAGAAGTATAATAATTCTACGATGTTTTTGCCTTTGTTCTGATTAACTATGTATGTCAAGACAGAGTCTATTGAACTTACTTTGTATGTGAAGGTAACACGTATGGACATTTCTTACTTTCGTTCACCATCTTTATATTTTGTTTGTGTAAAGAAGTCTTGATTGATATTTTCACGAATAATAATGCTCAGAGCCACCTTTTCTTGGATTTGTCATTGTTGCCTTGCCCTGCGTTAGTGTGTGTTGGCATCCAATCTAATCAATCCAGAGCAGTTTAACCTTATATTTTTGCATCCGAATGTTGCTTTCTTTGTTTCCTTTATTTTTTAGCCTTAGATCAGGTTCTTTCTTATTTGTGTATGTTTGGCTTCCCTAAACATTTCTTTTTTGTGAGCAACCTAAGTGGAACATAGACACCCAAGTGTCCCTTACCATTGTGGTCACATGTATTGCTCCGTGATAACCTTTTGGGCATACATATGCTTCTGAATCTGAATGAGTTTTGTTTCTTATTCTTAATTTATTTTCAACAGTCTACAATTGTTTTTTTTTTGGTTTGAAATTTTAGGTAATTTTAGGTTTTTTTGTCCACTTCCAGATTTTTTTGTTTTTGTTTTTGTGTGGCCCTCCATTGAAGATAATCACTAACAGTCACTGCTGAACACACCTCCCTTAAATGTTTACTACATGGAACCTTTACAGTAGTGATGAATAAGAATGAATTAGATGTATTCATGTGAAGCCTTAGAAACTTAAAGAAACAAACTGAATTTTCCCATAATTGGGGCATGTGACTGTGTTTGATTGCCTTACATTTCTATCCTCAATATTACAAGAACTACTCTAAAAACTCAAGAAAACCAATTTGTTTGTATGCTTGCAGAATTTATAATTTTGTAAGGGCCCTTCTGTGAAGTGCTTTTTAATGTGTAAATGACATTTGTCAATTTTTTGGTTGAATCTATGAATATAACCGAGTGCCAATGCTTTGTAAATGCAAGGGTTGATAGGTTTTAGAAGAGTGCATATGCACACAGGCCTTCGTGCAGATACAGAGAGCAAAGATGAGATATTTATTGTATGATGCCTTATTCTTTTATGTTTTCTAACATGGTTGCAGGAAGAAAAGAGGAAAATGGTGGCGTCTGCTTTTGGTGAAGATCAAAGTGGGGGCTCTGGAACTCGCTTAACTGTGGAAGATCTCAAATACCTTTTTATGGTGTAAAATGCAGTCCTCCAATCATTGGCATTCGGGCTTAAACCTAGGGCTTAACTCAGCTCGTTTTGTCTGGAGAAGAATGGCCAAACAGGAGTTGGAAGCAAATCGTCAAAGGTTGGTTTGAATGCGATAGTTCTACCTTAGAATGTACCCATGGGTGTAGGTGTATTTCCTCTGGTAATGAGTTTTGTGGGCCATGATAGGGCATTTTTGTTCCCATGAGGTGCGGAGATTGTAAGCCATGATTGACTGTAAATAATCTGTTTTAAGTATTTTTATTGTATACCATCTGCGAATTTGAAACACCTTCTCCTTTATCTACTTTTTATCTCTCCCCCTCGATATACCACAGTTGTCATTGATTGTTGAGATCAAAGCAGGTGGCCAGACAAATTTGAAACTGAAATGGGGATTCATAGCGATTCTGTTTGCATGCATGCAAGCAATGTGGTAAATCTGGAAGGTCTCAGAGTTTCCAGTGACTTGATCCTAACCACGTTTTGCCTGAGAAAGGGATCACATATTTTGATTAACGCTGGATGCCTGAATGTACTCTTCAACAGTTGAGGGTGAGGAAGAAGACGACTTCGTAGATAGTCTTAGTAACAGAGGAAGACAGTTTGGTAAAGGCTTTATCAAGTATTTAGGAAGGGAATATTTGTAACGGGAACTTTGCGAGGATGCCGCCCTTCTTGCTCAACCAAGGTATGTTTTCCTTTCCGAAATTTTTATAGCCTAAGGAAACTTAGGAGATGCTCACCATTTATTTAGGAGGATAGAGGTGAGAGGTGTTGCATTGATAAACTTTCAACTGTGGTTGGCCTCGTTATTTGGAAAGTAAGGGGATTGTCACGGACTGAGTGTTTGTCATCTTCTCGAGAAGTCAGCTCCACGAGTGGTATTGCATACCTCGTCTATTATGCCCAAGGACCAACCTAGGAGATGAGGTAGGGATCTATCTTGCCTGCCTTGTCGCTCACAAATTAATGTGCTTGCAAGGTGCTTGGTGTAGAACTCGCACTCCCAATGAGTCGGTATGTGACATACTACCACCACCAATCCCTGACGCTCTCGTCAGGAGGACATTACCCTGCCTGCCTCCATACTTGTCCGTTCCCTTACTCATGGGAAACATGCCCCGCGCAGACATCACCCTTGGTGCGGACCCCACAATGGAGGTGCTTGGTGTAAGTCTCACGTACCGTCCCCACCATAGTGCCTTTAGGTTGGCTCTGATATCACTTGTCGCGGACTGGGCGCTTGTCATCCTCCCGAGAAGTTGACTCCACGAGTAGTACTGCATATTCCGTATATTATGCCCAAGGACCAACCCAAGAGATGCGATAGGGATTTACACTGCTTGCCTTGCTGTTCACAAACTAATGCGGTTGCAAGGTGCTTGTTGTCGAATTTGCACCCCCAATGAATCGGTATATGACAGGATGCTCCCCCACGTTCAATTGTTATGATGGCTGGAATGGTTTTCACAATGAAAATTTGATGTCAACGATATTTATAAAAAAAAAGAAAAGCAGAAGAAGAATAATTTCCTTGTCCTGTTTTCGGATAAAGGTGGGATCAGTAGACTAGGTAGGCCATGGGGAAATGATGGACCAGTCTTCTTAACAGGGTCCCATTGTGGATGAAACCCAACCCCTCGGACATATCTATTTGCTAATCAATCAAACCTACTTTCGAATGATCCTTCTCATGGATTTTCCTTTGATAAATATAAACGCCAAGGGTGGACTTGTTAGCCCAAAAACAAAAGAGTTCACAGATAATTACATGGGTGCAGTATGTTCAACACCCAATGTTCAAATAAGCGCATATGAAAAAAAAAAAAAAAAAAAAAAATATTTAAAAAATGAGAAGGATGAAAAAAATGAAAAAATTGTTGAAATAATTATCTTTTGGGTACACAGAAGTCATTTAAGATAATTGAGATTGATTTAAAACTTGTTGGGACAGGGTTAGCATCATATATAGCCGTTGAGAGACATTTTGAAAAGGACTTGCAACATGCAATAATGACTTTTTTTTATCTCGAGTGTTTTTTAATAGAGGCCATGTTGGTTTGGGGTAAATGGATGAATAAGTCTTTGCCTAGACCCCAAAAGTAAGTATTAGCATATCCCAAATGATCCTAGTTTTTGTTCAAAGCCTGCATTTTGCTTTTATTGATTCCCTTCCTTTCACTATTTTTCATGGACAATTAGCTTGACTTTTGTGGGCCTCTCAAAAGTTGTTTTAAAGTCCTAGAAATTAGAAATTATGGAGGTGGTTAATCAATTGGATGGAGATGGAATGGTATTTATTTACCACTAATAAAATTGTCTCCTCCATTTATTCCACATTAGTTGAATAGGAAAAGGGAATAGTATTAGTACCTCCCTTAACATTTCTCTTGCTGTATATTTAATTTGAGAGAATATTGCAAAAGTAATCCTACGCTAAATTCATTCAAAAGAGGCAAAAAGTAAATAGTGCCTTTGCAAAAGTCATTGCTTGAATGAATTTCCAACTTAGGCTGCAGCAAAAGGTACACCATAACCTCTAGTGATGGCTTCACATGTCCACCAATGTGGTGGCTCCCCTCCATCATCACGATAGAGAGAGAGAGCAGAGGAATCTCTCAATATGGAAATGGAATTGGAAGAAAGAAAGGTCTTTTGTGGGCAATGAGCAAAAATATGTTGCATTGTTGTGCCATTGTTATCGCCACACATGGTTAAAGACTTGAATTATTTGTACTTAGAAATGCTATGTATTTAAAAGAGGGAAAAAAAAAACACAAACAAAATTTGAATGTATAGTAAAATTTGAACTTACTATAGTGTGAATTATAATAAAAATAAATTTGATTTACACATTTTAAGTATGCACACTTGTTTAGATATTTTACTGTCTTGGGGGGAGAAAGGCTGTCTTGGATGCTCTCTCATGTTAAAAATAGAGAGAGGATGCTGCTCTCTAACAACCCCTCCCAAGTAAGTCACTTTTTTTTTGCTGGATTCTTTTGACTATATTCTGCTTTGCTTTCCCTTTGTGAATGTTTATTTATTTGTTATTATTATACTTGCCTGCTTTGTTATATTAAAACCTTGACTCCAATTAATTCTAATGCTCTGTCTGTCTGTCTGTGTCTCTCTCTCTCTCTGTAACACAAAAACTCATCATAGAAAGTTGGTTTAATATAATATGTTGTTATTACATACCCTTCCTCTTTCAAAGGAGGACACAAAATACAACTTTGACCTAATCATCAACTGGGACAGGACAGTACCTGGATGACCTTTCCTTAAACACAATCAATAGTAAAACTCAATACAATACAATACACTAATACTATATTAATACAAAACAAATATAATATATATAGATATAGATATAGACATAAATAGAGAGAGAGAGAGAGAAAAAAAAAAGAAAAGATGAGAGAGTATTATTAACTGTGAAGTGATGGGTAGCAAAATTAAGTAGAAAAAATGTAGCTAGCAGACGTTGGGTCCAAATCCCACAAAACCATTTGCCCCATCAAATGAAATCTGGATTCCCTCTTGCTGTATATTGCCTATTATGGATAGTCCTGATGCTGATGCTGCAAATGCAAAACAGAATGTTCCCATTTCATTCACTGGTATCAAGAAGTTCCGTGCTGGCAGCGTCAAGATGGGTCCTCCTGAGAAGTAAAACGATACGGTTGGTACCCGAACCGACACAAACCCATTCAGATCATAACACGTGTCGAATATCGATACTCCTGACGACCGAGGTAGGCTCGCAGTTTGAGTGATGAACGCATCACGAAATGCCACGTATGCCGCCATCGGAAGCCTGGTCACGGCTGTCCCACTGTCCATAACAACCCCCCCATCCCCCAATTCCGTTAACCGGAAAACATCTTCCGGTATGGGGACCCGCATCCCTCCAACCCCAAGCCCCGCAAGCCCGATATAGTAGAAGCTTTGGGCCCGTGGGTTGCGAAGCAACGGTACCCATGCAGCACCCACGGGCAATGCTACCCACCCAAACTCAAGTGACCCGGTTGATCTTGTGCCTCGACTTACTAGACAGTAAGTGAATGCATCACCCGTCTGCCCACCAAGCTGACCCACAAATGACATGGATCCACCTCCAAGCCCCAGCAACCCGGCAGCCCCGACAAACATGCCCTGGTTCCTGTGCCCACACCCGATTGCCACGTTGCGCACTGTGGTGGGCCCGAATGTCAGAGTTTCGAGGGCTAGGGTCCCCTTTGTATACGACCCGTCCCCGTATAAGACCTCATACCTGCACCGACCCGCATGACAACCCGCATTCTCCAGGCGGTCACAGACGGCAGAGCTGCAGGACACCCCAGTAAACGAAGCGGAGTTTGACGGGTCAAAAACCGGGTCGGACTGTCGGTAACACTGGTTACAGGGTTGGCACTGAACCCAAACGATGTCGCTTCCGGAGTCAATAACCATGTATTGGTTCCTTGGAGGACTCCCAACACCAATCCTAACAAAGTATTCTCCACTCCCTTGCTCCATACCCGAAACCACGTCCGACCCGAAATCTGCCACCTCATAACTAGCTTTGCCGCCGCCGCCACCACTAGTGAGGCGGCGAATCAGGCCAGCAACCCTTTTAACATCTCTTTGGATGCGCTGGTTGAAACGGTGATGATAATTGGTGGATGATGAACTAACTCCAACTGATAGTTTATCTCTGTGAAGTAGCTTCAGCTTCCACTTCTTCTCTCCACCACCATCACTGTTTTCAGAGACTACTTCTTCATGATATTCATTTGGGATTTTGGTACTCTCAATGACTTCTCCGACTTTCAGATGTTGGAAGAAAAGGTGTAGTAGCACCGCCGCTACCACAGCCACCACTACTAGAGGTTGTAAAGAGGCCATTACCATTTGTTTCCCTCTGTTTTGGGTATTATATGGTTTTGGTGGGTATTTTAATGGAGTGATGTTGTTTTGGATGTTGGATGTGGGAAGGGGGGGTGGAGGGGGATTTATTTGCTTTGGGTTGTGTGTAATGAGGAGGAGGAGGAGGAGGAGGGGGGAAAGGTGGGGAGAGAGAGAGAGAGAGAGAGAGAGAGAGGTGGGGAATGATTGAGTAGATGGGGTTTGCTGTTTCCTTTGTTTTGTTTTTATGTTTTTTGTTTTTTTTGGAGTTGATTGAGGATGTGAGAGGGAAGTGTCTTTTTCCTGTCCTGTTCGTGTAACTTCCTGCGTTTCTCTCTTTCTTTTTAATGTCTTTCTGTGGGCACAGATAAGTTATGGAATTTGGGTGGGAGATGAGCACATTATAAAACAAAAATATAAAAAGTTATGAAAGAAAAAAAAATTGGTCATGAAATCATTAGGACAATAAACGAATCGAGGCAATAGCAAGTTATTTAAGTCTAATTTAAAATTTAACAAGCTTCAAAATGTGTATTCAACATTGATTTGTTTAATTTTTAAATCAATTTCAAATGAACTTTAATTGAACTGATCATGAGTTAAGCTCGACTAATTTTATTTTTTATAATTCATTTATATAATCGAGTTAAGATCAATTAAGTTTGACCTAAAAATTTTAGAATATGCTCATATAGAAAGTTGCTCTTAAACAAATTTTCATCGAATCGAATACAAATGGAGCTTGAGTGGTTGTTTTACAATTATATAAACCATAGAGAACGAAAGTTAGTTGGAATGGTACATGCGTTACATGTTGGACTGGACCGCATTCATCGAGAGGATGATATATTAAAAATTTAAGCCCTACTCTTGTTCTTCACCACCATCACCAGCTATTCTTACCTTCCTATCAATTTGTTATTTTGCGGAAACAAGTTATTATTTTTTTTGTATGGTATTATACTTTACTATATAGGTTGATATTTATATTATACATTTAACCTCTCTGTTAGTAAAAGTTATGCTAGGGTTGGATAATAATTTTAAACGAATAATTAAACAGAAAATCAGATGATTGTATAAAAGTTTTAAATGCCTTAAAAGTATAAGGATTTCTTTAAAACAATTAATAATCAAAAGAAAAAGTATTCAAATAAACAAAGATAACTCCAAATGAAATTATTCAAGTTTACAAGAACTACAAGTCACAAATTATGGAGAACAAAACTACTCTTAACTTGATAATCTACTCTTAAAATAAAGATTAAGTTATTGTTGGATTGTTGATCTTCCTTCCCTCTACTAACTTTTGGCCTTTATAGTTCTTGTTTCTCCTCTTTTCTTGATCCATGATCTCATTTCCCTTGGAAATTGCAGGCCACTAAACTCCAATTGCTGCTGCTGCGTCTCATTTCCCTTAGAAATTGCAGACCACTAACCTCCAACTGCTGCTGCAACTGCTCCACTCTTCCAAACCTTCAAAATTTAACAATTCTTCATATTTCCTATCAAACTAACTTTGCTCCATACTGTCCCACGCTCCTCATCATTTTGAACACTAAATCGACGGAGAAAACATTTCCTTCATAAACCAATTTTCACACAAATCAATCCACTAAGCCAACAATTATTTAATAATTGCTCCATGACTACTTTTAACAATTTATGCACTTAAACAATTCTTTTTTGCCTTGTGTCTGTTTGATCAAATGAAAGACTTTTACTTTTGATTTTATTGCCATGTGTCATCATTCAATTGATCTATGGCAATAGGAAATTTACAAAAATTGGTGCAAACACTCTCACATTTCTCTTAATAATAATAATAATAATAAATTGGAAGCTTACAGTGAAATATGAATACTATAACTATTTTACTGTAAGATTTAGGATTTTTTTTATTAAAATTCTTTGTACCTGTCTATTGTATGATATTGTTATGCATTGAATAGCTTGATATATTTATTTGGTGTACTTATTCAATTTGTTCACTTCTTCACTTGCAAAACAAAGTCGCACTTGGATCGAAAGTGTTAAATTGCTTGATAAATACTTTTGAGCCTATTTGTTAATGACTTAAACTTTGGAGACAATACATGATCGAACACAATATCAGGACAAATATAAGATCTTATGTTCAAATCTCACTGTCTACTTAGACCAATTAATCCCCAAGGATTTGGCCTGGTGATCAAGGCTTGGGTTTGGAGTGTGTTCATTTCAAGGTATCATATTCAAAACTTTCTATGTACAAATAATTTATTGGGACCAATTCATACAAGGTTTTGCTCAGACTTTAATTAGGCCCCTGTTAATGAATGGTGAGATTAATCCTCTAATTAATCGGTCTAGTGGAACGGATACTTAAAAAAAAAAAAAAAAAAACTCACTTGTTTGGTGGAGAGTAGCCACATGTGAAGCAACATCTTTTAAGTTACATCCCTCTTGACAAGACTTTCAAATGAATTGGAAGTGAAAAATTTTACACGATAGCCTACTCTCGAATAACTTCCACAAAATTCATATTTCATACAATTTATTGTTCTTCATCAATTTTTATATGTTGTCATTTTTTTGTTTTAATGACAGATCTATTCTAAGTGTGTAAATTTGGAGTTTAGAAACCACTCTTCCAAAAGGGAGTCAAATCTCAAATGACTTGAATAACAACTTCAGCGACTAACGATCCAAACTACCTCAGGAGTAATATGTTGTTCTTTTGATTACGTCATTGAGTATTTCTGTGTCCTATATATAGTGTAAAGCACATTTATCTTTTTCTTTTTTATTCTTCTTTTTTTTTTTTTTTACTTTTTTTTTATGCCATTATTGTTGTGACCACTAACTATATTTGATCATTCATAGTTTTTCAACTCTCTCCTACATCTCTCTATTATTGCATGCCTAAGAGACCCGTGCACTTGGCAAATTCTCTCCTTTCCTTATTGCTTTGGCTTCAAAATTATATTAATGCTGTGTTTGGTTGGGGAATTTGAAGAGGGATTTGGAAAGGGAAAGGAAAAAGGTGTGTGAAACTAGGTGAAATATAGACATGTTTTATTCACATTTCACCTACCTTTTCCATTTCCTTTTCCAAATCCCTCATCAAATCCTCCAACCAAACACAGCATTAAAGAATTGGTTGGTGCTTTGCATTTTCATTTGTTAATTTAATGCTCCTTCGCTAGGGTTGGATAATAATTTTAAACGAATAATTAAACAGAAAATCAGATGATTGTATAAAAGTTTTAAATGCCTTAAAAGTATAAGGATTTCTTTAAAAAAAGCCCATTGGATAATACTCTAAAATGATGCTTAAGAGACATGTTCCTATGGCAAATTTCATTATTTACTAAAAACGATTTTGGGAACATGGTAAAAAGATGCTTAAGAGACATGTTCCTATGGCAAATTTCATTATTTACTAAAAACGATTTTGGGAACATGGTAAAAAGCCACGTTTTTGGACAATGTCCAAAAACGTGGCTGCCAAAAACACCAAAAAAGCCATTTGGCAAGTGCTAAAAACGCAGCCCTAAAATTACAAATTAGGACCTATGAAAAATAAATAAAAAAATAGCTCTCTTATGTTGGGTAAGGGTATTTTGGTCATTTTAATTTGATTTGACACCATAAATAAATATTAAACTAAAAAGCAAAAAGCCAACTTTTTACCAACTTTCCATATCACTTCCAAAAAAGCCAAAAAACTTGGTAAAAAACCAAAAGCCAGCTTTTTACCAACTTTCCAAAACAACCCTAACTAAACCAAATGATGCATACTCCTTAGGTAGAACTTATTCTTAAAATTGATTTGTAGTCCCAGTAGGCTTATATATATTCAGATAGATAAACTCATTGTTACCTGACGTGAGATCGTATCAACGAAAAAATTTAATCCCTCCCTCCAAAAAAAATAAAAAAAAATACTAATACTAATACTAATACTAATACTAATACTAATAAAAACTAAAATGAGCATTTCTTTTATAACCCGTATGCTCGTCTTGAAAGGAATGTTAGAGATAAGATTCAAAATGTTAATCTTAGATTACTATAAGCTTAATATATAAAATAAGTCTGATATCTATATCTGTAGGTCTATAGATATGATTGTATCTATTCATTTAGAATTCAGTAAAATAGTTTAATTAATGTTCTTTGGTATTATTTTTGAAAAACGAGTGGGAGCTCTAATTAGAGCTACCACTAATGATGTGTGTTTTCTTTTTCTTTTTGCTTTTCCACTTCATTAGTGGTGGGTTTAGAGTCACCAAATTAATAGTTTCTAGCATGATTGATTATTTTTATAATTTTACATATATATTATGTATCTTATATATTGCAGGTAGACCACCATAATATACCCTTCCCTCTCACATACATGTACACAAGAATGTTTAGTTCGAAGGCATAAATCAAATTGAAATATATATATTTTAGAGTAAAAATAGACTATATCAAAGCACAAGACACCAACTGTCATTTATACTATTCACCCAAAAACTTACATGAAAAAAGATTAGGAATTTTAAATTAAGAGTTCTAATAACTTTAATTGGTGTGTGGGTCTTATGTGATGTGATATTTTGGCTTTGATTTTTTTTTATTTTTTATTTTTCACATCATTAGTGCTCTTTTAAAGCTCCCAAATTAGAAGAATATATCATTTCTGATCTCTCATTTATACCTTTTCATAACGTGTATCCACTAACATGATCAATTATTGAAGGGCCAATGATATAAAACTTTAAATGGTTGATGTGGATTTGTGTGCCTTGAATTATTAAGCATTAAAATAGGACTAGATTTTTCAGGAATTTTTTTATTTACGATCAAATTTATTTCACCTCCGACGTGTATTAATTTAATAAATCTCACGTATGTGTAAGATCTATTACATGTAAAACGTAGTGAAATTTTTTTGCCACATAGAAAACCATGTTGAAGATGCAGTAATTCAATGAATTATTTTGATGATGTATAACAATTCTCGATTTTCCATTGTTATAACCCAACAAAAGTGTTATTTTTTATTTGGTTGACTTTTCAGAACTTGTTTTTGACTTTGAAAATTTTAAAATTAGTTTGAGAAAAATTAACACAAAAAAAAAGTTAATCTAAAATTTTCAAAATTTATTTTTGCAC